TACACATTTTAAATGTACGACCCCGTTTACAAATAAAGAATTTAAAAATACATAATTAAATGATCTATTACAAATGAAGAATTTCAAAATGATATATTACAACATGTAAGTATTACATAGTCTTCATCGACCAAGTCGCGCCGGACATGTTCGCCTGTCATGACCTGTCTGGTGGCACTGATGGGGGAGATGCCACTTAACCACGTCAAAACAAATAAGTGGCACTCTCGCCATCCATATCTCCTGACCCAGTCGGCAGTAGTCGGGGAGCGTATCGAGGACCCCAGCGTAAGGCTGGCAGATAAACTACAATGACGACAAGTAATTTAAATTTTGCTCGTAAACTCAAAACATATACAACGAAGAAGACAACTAAAACGCAATCAAAAAAGTTCATACCTCGCCCTCGATCATGCGGTCCAGCTGGTCTCTATAAACTACCACTACGTGGGTCAAGACGACCTCATGGCCCATGTCAACCCTCCACCGGCTACCTCGCGGTCCGGTGGGCAACTGCATGTCCCCCTCACCCATAGGAAGCTCACCAGGACCAACCGGTTGCCGCCTAGACGGGGCAATGCAAATCAATCTCTCCCATACCCAAATCTGCAATAGTTTGAATACAATTACAATACTGATATATGGCTATAAATATGAATTGACATGAAATAAAATTGTTACTAACCTGTAGCAACACAAGTGGTCCTCCAATCTCCCTCGTACCCACCTGAGCTGCTCGACATAGCATCCTATACAACCATGCCAGAGCCGTGCTACCCCAACTGTACTGCCCAATCTCCTCAATGTCTCTCAGCAATGGCAAATACATCAGCTTGACCAGGTTCTGTGACTTATCAGGGAGAAGTACCCCCCCAATAAGCCACAGAATATATGCTCGGGTATGCTGCTGTACCAACTCATCTGGAGCATGATCTGGAAGATGAGCAAAGTGCTCGGCCAGCCACCTCACCCTCACTCTACCTGCCTGTAAATCTGCTGGTGTAGGTGCTACTCCCAATAGCTCAGCACATAGGGCTATCCACTGCTCCGTCGCGCGAGAAGAGTCAACTCCAGTAACTGCTCGGCTATCAATCCGAAGACCATATAGGACAGATACGTCCTGCAGCGTGACGGTGGCCTCCCCGATCGAGAAATGGAATGTATGAGTCTCTGTGCGCCACCTCTCAACGAGAGCAGTGATGAGTGCGTGGTCCAGTCGAATGTGCCCGATATGATACACACCATAGAATCCCGTGCGTAATAGATACTGCAAGACTCTATGGTCCAACGGATACTCCCACAATCCAGAATCTGCCCGACGACATGTCAACACGGTGCATGCCTCATCCTGCACAACAGAATTACCAGTTCAAATAATAACATTATCCCGAAATATACAACAAAATGCAATGTATTTTAATTGTAGCCGTAAAGTGCAACAAACGTTATTGCATACCGGACGGTCCCACATACTGTCAGCCCGATGTGCCTGTTTGAACAGTGGAACCTCCTCAGGTACATGTGCCATGAAGATTATTGGGATAATCCATATCAAAAGCCTGTACAACTGAAATTATTGATCCATATCAAAAGCTCATTTAATCATAACATAATAACAGAGAAAACTGTAATTATTGATTTTGTACTGAACGATGTAAAATACAATGAAGTAAATGTTATGGGTTCGAGAAAAAGACAAATTTATGTGCCACTTACACGGAAGCAATTCGAAATTAATGCCATATTTGACAAAACTGAAATATTTATTTTGTAATGCTAAAAGTTTGAATAAATTATAAATTTTGCAAAATACATATAAAATTTTGTAATTGTGAACAAAGACCGCAACATTCCAATTTTTAAAATTTTAATTTATAATAGGTTAATTTTTTTAAAATTTGTAACTTTTTTAAATTATAAAATGTGAACAATGATTGCAGCATTCGATATTTAATTTATTCAAAAATATGAAACTTTGAAATGGTAGAAGAACTACGTGATTAAGTACACATTTTCATGGCGTCTATTGCAACCTCGTCCACGGCGAAAAGATGTTTGCACCTCAAATACACGGTGGGGCCTAGAAGATAATATTGAAACAAACTAATAAAGTTCATGTTTTTAGATGTAATTAACTTATCAACATAATAATAACAACTTTCTCACATTACAAACTAACCTGTCATACGATATCAACTTGAAAGTATTTCCCCTTGTGATACCCTCCTCCATAGTTCTTTGCATCTCTCTAGGGTATTGGAAGTCATTGCGTACATCTGTTTCAGCTTGGGCTCCCATCTCGTCAAAATATTTGACGAGTCGTCGAAATGTGAATTCAACCATAGCTGAAATAGGTAAGTTCCTTGCACCTTTCAATACGCTGTTGAAACACTCTGCATCATTACTGGTCAATACCCCCCAGCGATATCCATCGTCATATGCAAGGGCCCAGTCCTCAGGATTCATCTTGTGGACCCAATCGATGGCTTCTTGGTCAATAGCCTGTATCTGGTCTAAGTAACCATTACACTTTCGTCGTTGATCAGCACTCCCTGCTTTCTACAGAAGTTGTTTGAGCTCCTTATTTCTGAAATGTGTGTTAAAGTTACTGCAAACATGTCGAAGGCAGTGCCGATGATATCCAACAAATTGGAGTGAGGGATTTAGCCAATGCCGCCTCACAGCAGCTAAAATACTCTCAGCTCGATCAGATATCAAAGTCACTCCCTGTCGGTCCATGACAATATGTTCCTTGAAATTTTGAATGAAGAACGACCAAGACTCCAAACTCTCCCTGTCGACAACAGCGAATGCAAGCGGTAATATTTTGCCATTGGCAGTGACAATCGTTGCTATAAGTAACACACCAGTGTATTTACCGTATAAGAATGTACCATCTATAGTTATAACAGGCCTACAATATCTAAAGCCATGGATGACGGGTTTGAAAGACCAGAAAACAAAGTGGAAGACGGGTATAATGGTTGCATGCCCGGTATATCTATTCTTCCATGTCACGATGGTGCCAGGATTAGATGTCTCTAATGCATGCATGAATTTAGGCAATTACCTGTATGATTCGTCCCAATCACCGAATACCATTTTGATTGCCTTTGCCCTAGCATGCCACGCCTTCTCGTATGATATACTATAGTTCATGGTCTTTTTTATATCTTCGATGACATTCTTAATTAGCATATCAGGTTCATTCTGCATACGACAATGAAATATGAGTTGGATTATCTAGATGTGAATACTATAAACAAACAAATATGTATGTATATGTAAACATTTATTTTTTATACTAACCGCAACTTGTCCCAAAATATGAGAAGCAATGTAACTGGAGCTAATATTAGTGTGGTCCCTGTTCATTCGTGGGTATAAACAATGGTGAGGACCCCTATACTGCTTTATTTCAAACAGACCATGTTTCCTACTAAGAGATGCACGCAACCACCAACTGCAGTCGTGCTTGCAAGCAGACACCCAATGTAACACCCTCAAAAACAACCCTTTATACTCTCGATTATTTGTTGCATGGTACAATTTCACAGCATATAGAAGTTGCTTCTTATCAACAAAAACTATTCCTCTGTCCAACTCTGGATTTTCAGCACTCCAGATCCGGTTACGGGGAACGACATCACGGGTACTAATGTCAAAATCACTACCCATGTGAATGTTGTCATAGTAAGGGATTTCAACTCTAGGTGGAATGGGGGCATTTTCAGGTTGAACGGGAGCCTGGGCATCATATTCTTCATCATCATCCTCATCTGATCCGCCTAATACATTTTCTTCCTCACACATTTCATTGTCATCATCGTTTAGGGCGACATCAGGACCGTACATGTCACTGTCAGCAAACTGCACCTCGTTCACTGTTTCAGCCATATTACCAGTAACTTCAACCGGAGTGGTATGATGGCTGCATGTCGGCACATCTTGTGTGTTACTGTCAAATTCATAACCATATCCACCACGTGAACTTGATTCTACATCATGGCCCTGAAATGACTGTTGTTTGTAGCCCAATGGATAACATTGATCTGATTCATACATAGGAGACTGAAACGCTGTTGTGTCAATCCCATGCGTCAGCAATGTAGTGAACGGACAAGAATCTATATGTGTCATGTTCGAGATATTGTGTACAATCTCTTTATCAATGTAGACTTCCAAACAATTTGGTGCTTGAAAACTTGCACCGATACTTAATACGGTGTTCAACGCCTCATCGTCATTGATCGGTAATATCTTGTATTTGCTGTGTGCTTGCCACTGGCGATAAGGATATCTACATTTGAAGGTCAATCGGACACTTTCCCCGTAACTTGCCACCTTTGACGTAAACATCTCCTCCAAATTGGTAAGCGTGGTGCCAATTTGCACCGCATATATCCCTTTCAGCTCAGCATCATATGCTACGCCTTCATCAGGATCCCGAATTATGTTTCCCCCCCAGTAGAAAATAATTGGAACAGTCTCCATATACTTGCTTCAATTAAGACAAAAAAACATTTAAATAGCAACAATATACTTATATCTCCTTGTACTTGTAAAAGAATTATATGAAATTATACTCATTCAATTACAATTACTTGTGACGCAAAAACTGTATTCAAGTAATCATCAATTATAATCCAGCATTCATTATTGATTTTTTAATTAAGATATGAGTTAAAATAATGATAATGGTTTAGATTTTTTAGCTTTTTAAGAAATACATCTTACAACTTATGAAAAAATTAACATTATCCTCTTATGCTATGCTTTTTACATTACTTATTATGAGTAAGACCATGGTCTTGTGCACATTAAATGTAATTCAACTAACAGCTTTATTAATTTTGGATTAATTTTGTATAAATTAGAAAGTAACAACATTTGTAATTGAATTTTGTATAAATTAGAAACTAACAGCTTTATTCAACATTCTTTCAAAGCTAGGCTTAGTTTGGGAATTGAATTAGTATTTTGACTTATTTTGGAAAATGGCCCTAGGTTGTGACCTTATATAAATTATTATAAGGACTTGCTAGTTTACTTCTGAAGTTGTAATTTAAAATGTATAAAAAATGTCTGTGTTACATGGATTCTTGAAAACAAATCAAGTAACCATATCAGACACTTGACACCTAGATAAGTGTATCATATGTATGGTCGATACTTGTCATCAGGTATGCACATATCCACGATTTTAGCCAAAAAAAAATTGTTCTGAACTCGCTGTTATAAACCACGATTTAATCCAAAAAAAAAAAAGGACTTGTGTACTCAAAACATATATATTAAAATGTGATCAGAACATCACTTATGTTGTTGGTAGCTCAAGTGGTAGTGCAATGGTGATGGCCAGGCAGAGCCGTGGGTTCAAACCACGCCAACTCCTTCTCAATTTTCAAAAAACTCAATTTTCAAACAACTACCTCCGCATCACCATTGCACTACCACTTCAGCTACCAACAACATAAGTGATGCTTTGTTCACATTTTAATATATATGTTTTCAGTACACAAGTCTATTTTTTTTTTTTGGATAACGTCATGGTTTATAACAGCGAGTTCAGCAGAAAAACAAATTGGCTAAAATCGTGGTTTATAACAGCAAGTTCAGAACAAAATTTTTTTGGACTAAAATCATGGTTTATAACAGCGAGTACAGAAGAAAATTTTTTTGGGCTAAAATCGTGATTCAGAACAGCGAGTTCATAATATATTTTTTTTAATTAAAACCGCGTTTTGTAACCGCGATTTCTTAATCAAAATCGCGTTTTGTAACCACGATTTTAAGATTTTCCAAATTCCACGCGGGACAGGCCCAGAAATGTTGAAATCATGGTTGTGAACTGCGAGTTAGCTTATTTTGTGAATTCTTTCAAAACTAGGGTTAGTTTGGGAATTGAATTAGTATTTTGACTTATTTTGGGAAATGGCCCTAGGTTGTGACCTTATATAAATTATAAAGTGTTGGTAAACTTATTTAAGATTTTTGTATGACTTGTCCAGTTTTGTCCAATCGCACTGAATAAATACAATACTTCATACAAATTATAGTATAAAATTATATGAACAGAAAAATAAAAGAAGAATCTTCGTAATGTCTTCATATTGAAAATTATTGATATATCTGTCTAGGTTACAAATCACGCTTTTAAGGAAATTTTATTTATACAAAAATTTTGAAGTAATTACTTTTTTAAAGTAAATCTGATTAAGAAAATTTGATTTATACATAACCATGCTGTGGTTAAGTAATTCTTTCTATCTTCAGAAAACGTGGTTGCAAACCACGGTTTTACTGTTGACCCGTGGATAATAATCAGTTCTAAGCAAAATGTAAAAATTCAACAAAGAATTCAAAATCAACACTCTCTCTGTCTGACACAGACACCCACAACACTCACACTCACATCAAACATATAGGCTTTTTAATATATATAAATTTTATTTTGTAAAATTCATACCAATATTTTATTATTATATATATATATATAATAAAATATTGGTATGAATTTTACAAAATAAAATTTATATATATTAAAAAGCCTATATGTTTGATGTAAGTGTGAGTGTTGTGGGTGTGTGTGTCAGAGAGAGGGATAGAGAGAGTGTTTTTGAGTGTCTGTGACAAACAAAAATGAGTGCTGATTTTGAATTCTTTGTTGAATTTTTACATTTTGCTTAGAAGTGATTATTATCCACGGGTCAACAATAAAACCATGGTTTGCAACCACGTTTTCTGAAGATAGAAAATACTACTTAACCACAGCATGGTTATGTATAAATCAAATTTTCTTAATCAGATTTACTTTAAAAAAGTAATTACTCCAAGATTTTTGTATAAATAAAATTTCCTTAAAAGGGTGATTTGTAACCTAGACAGATATATCAATAATTTTGAATATGAAGACATTACGAAGATTCTTCTTTTATTTTTCTGTTCATATAATTTTATACTATAATTTGTATGAAGTATTGTATTTATTCAATGCGATTGGACAAAACTGGACAAGTCATACAAAAATCTTAAATCATAGTGTAACTTTTTCTATGAAATTATTATTTTTTTCATTGAGTTCAAATAACTCGACTGATTTTGTATGACTTGCACTTAATTTTAATTTCAAACATTGTTCACGTCATTTTTTATAACTGGTGGTCAAATTAGTGAGATTTGTGGACAATTAAAGAGAATTTACTTTTATTGACATTATTCCCTCTGCCAATAGGGACCTTAATGACAAAGTTATTTGATAGGTTATTTCCTATGACATTATTCCCTAACTTGGGGAAATAACCTCATCCGAAATAACGTACGAAATAACTTAGGGAAACAACATAATAAAAAAATTATCGTCCTGAAGCGAGTCAAACTTGAGTTTCATTAATATTAAAGAGCTCTTATTATCTGTTAGAAATTAGGTATGCTCCTTTCAGATCTCAAGTTGAAATCTCAGTATGTTTCATTAATTGAGATTTGTCGGATCTACGTGGAATGGACGTTTGGTGTGGATTGTAAGATTAGTTGATAAATACGTAAACTGATTCAGACATCCGACTATCATAAAAAGTTATAACTTAATTGAATAAACATAATGCAGGCGCATAGAGAATAAGTCAATTGGATAATTCAAGTAGGTCAAAATTATCGAGAATGACTCATTTTATAAATCAAATATTTTAATTTTTTCAAACATAATTCCTAAACAAATTTGTTTTTTTTTTTTTTTAATATATCAAATGTTTTCATAATAGCATTTTCCATGACGACTTGGAAGGCCTCTTTTCGCAAAGAGGTAAAAAGTAATGTTTTGACTTCTAATTTTTTGTGGATCAAATTATTCAACCTCTAATGTTTATATCAATTTTTTGTAGATAACTTCTAAAAAGTCATTTATTTATATTAAATTTATAAAAGGGAATGTCATGAATTTTAAGGAGGAAAAACTCGAAAATGAAATTCAACCGTAAATGGGGCAAGAAATTCAAGTAAACTATACTTTTTATATTTAACCACGATTACATTTGAATTTAGTGCATAAATTTAGTCAAACCAATTTTTCTTATCCTACCTCTTCCCAAGCAAGCATACATATATAATGTATCTCAATAATTCATCACATACGATGTTCCATTAACAATGGTATAATGCAAACCCGACAATTCTAGACAACCGTGTCATCCTCCACCGTCAACATTCTAAGTAGTTAGATTTTTAATTTGTTAATAAAATTTTAGTGTACTACTTAAAGGGTCACCCATAGAAAATATTAAGTAGGCCTACACTTCAATTATCTGACTTTTCTATTTTGCCATATCCCTATCTTTCCTGGCCAAAATGATGAGAAAACTTCCATAGCAATTTCTTATCACAAATTTTGTTCCTTACTTTTCAATTTCTTATTCTTACTTAAAAAATTGAAAGTTAGAACAAAATTATTTTTGTTACTTTATTAATTTTAAGTTATTACTACTCCACATCACCTAATTAATAATAATTTTTACAGCCAAATTAACGTTTCTCTTTCTTAAGTAATTATTATTATTATAGATAATTATCTATTCATTACGTAAATATTATTTGTTCCTAAAAAAAATTATATAACATTATTTAAAAAATTTAACTTATCATAAATTTCTTAACCCCTAATTTCTGATTTCACAATTTAAAACCGTTAATTGAAAAATGATTTCACATTCATCAATTCAAAACCCTAATTGAAAACCAAAACCCTCATTTCTGATTTCACATTCAATAGAAAACCATAACCCTCATTTTCTTATTTCAAACATAATATTTAAATTTTGCTAAACAGATGCAACATTCAACAGATTTCACATTGAACAGAAATCTGATTTCACATTCAATACAAATCTGATTTCACATTCAACAGATTTCGCAATTATAAACAGATTTAAGATAAATATAAACCATTTAACATTCACATTCAACAGATTTCTAAACAGATTTCACAAATATAAACCCTAACCCTAACCCTAACCCTAACCCTAATTTAAAATTTAAGACTAACCCTAACCCTAACCCTAACCCTAACCCTAACCCTAACCCTAACCCTAACCCTAACCCTAACCCTAACCCTAACCCTAACCCTAACCCTAACCCTAACCCTAACC